AGGCTGATGGGACGAAAGCTGTCCAGACTGGGTTCTCTCCCACCATGCTTCTTCGGTATGAGAACTGTCAGAGCCTGTCGCATGGATGGTGGCATCAGGTTCCGTCGCCGAATGTCTTCGAAGACGTCACAGAGGATCGGGGCAAGTTCGCTCAGGAACGTCTTGTAGAAAACGCCGCCTAGACCATCGATCCCCGGAGACTTCCGTGGGGCGAGTTTTTTTACGGCCCATTCGATTTCTGCGACGGAAATCTTCGTGTTGATTTCCTCTCGCAGCTCCTCCGACACCTTCGGAAGCGGCACTCCGGGTACCCGGAGCGGCTGAAGGTGGTCTTTTTCCGTGAACAAATCCTTGTACGCTGAGACGAAAGCGTTTTCAATATCTTCTTGCTCTGTCAGAATGGTATCCAGGACTCGGAGCGACGTAACGCGCTTCTGAGCAGAGCGCTGCCTTTCCTTCGTTTTAAAAACTTTTCTTGGTTCTTCGTCTCTTTCCAGCGCAAGCGTGCGACACCGGATCATAGCTCCCCGGTACTGCTTCTCGAGTATTTCGAGAAGTCGTCCCTTGCAATCTTTGATGTCTTCAGTGAAGACGCCAGGAGTCTTGTTCTCCTCGTGAATCAGTGTTGAGAGGGTTTGCATGAGTTCGCGCTTCTCGGCACGTCCGTGGGCAGCCTTTTTCCGGCCGTATCTGTACGTGGTCAACTTAACTTCTTCTTTCAGCTGTTCCCATTGTACTGCGTTCATCGAGTGGTTTCCTTTGGCTTCTTGAATTATCTGTTTTATCGCTTTGCAGAGCTGCTCGTCTTCCAAAAGTGCGTCATTCAGTTTCCAGCCACTCCACCATGATGACGTGACGTTTCTGCGGACGACCTTTCCCATTGTCATGATGACGCAGGCGTGATCAGAGAAAGCTACCGGGACAGCTTTATAGGTCAGGCTAGCTGCGGCGAGTTCGCTTGATACGTAGATTCGATCTAGCCGTGCGTGACAGTCTCCCTGCCAGTGTGTGTACCCAGGGAAGGCGGTTTCCGTCAGCTCTGTGACGTCTTGAAGATCAAAGTCACGCAGTAGCTTGCGCAACTCGACCAAACTTGAGTCTGCCCTTGCGCCTTTCGAACAGTCCACCGCTTTCATGACACAATTAAAGTCTCCGCCAAGCACTGTTTTGCATGGAGTATCCAGGTACTGTCGCAAAGACGCAAAAAATTCTTTCCGACTCGCCGAGTCATTCGGCGCGTAAACCGACACACACTTGTACATTTCGTTATGATAAATGACGTCAATACTGCAGATCCGGCCATTCTTATCTGTTTCCCACTCGGGGCATACATTTATTCCTCTCCCTTTTTTAACCATTACTGCCGTTCCAGCGCTTTGGCCGTTTGCGACGGACACTAAGATTGCGTAGTGACGAGCCACAAAACGAGCCATGGCTTCAACTTGTGCATTTGTCGAAAGTTTGGTTTCTTGCAAAAACAATACGTCTATCTTCTTTTCAAGAAGAAAGGTCAGCACCCACTGTTTGCGTTGTTGCGCTTGTACACTAACGCAGTTTAGCGTGGCAAACTTGAGACGCTTTATGTTTCCTTTGATTTCTATAAAGGGAGGGTCACTGGCGGCGTCAGTAAAAACATTGCGAACGTCTCAGCGAACCGAGAATCGAATAGGAATGAACGAAAAGAACCCCACCTACTCCGGTGGCTTCCGGCCATGTTCCTCCGTCGGAAGTCGCGTGGCGGGGTTAAACCTGGCCCGTCGGGGTTTAGTGACCTTCTGCCATTTGAGGCCCGACCGCTGCACTTGGCCGTCGTCCTCGGAGCGCTGGTCCGCCGGGAGCTTGAAGTTCTCCCCAGAGTCACTCAGCTCGGGGTCGTCGTCCGTCGCCCACTCCGCCGTGCCGTCCTGGTCGTCCGCCCAATTAGATGCCTGGCCCTTCTCCTTGACGTCTCGCATTGGAACCTTGAAGTCCCTTTTGCCGGGATTGCTCCCCGTCGATGCCGCGGGAGCCGAAGCAGGGGGACTCGTCGGAACCGGTGCCGTCTGCTGCTTCTCGGGCGGCGCACTTTCAGCTTCCGTTTGACCCGGCGTCGTGGTCGGTACTGCGACGATGTGCTCCGCGCCCTCTGCTGCCTTCTCAGCCTCCTCCTCGTCCATTTCGAGGCTCGGCGCTTCGTTTTCGATGGTTGCCTCGGTGACGGTGGCATACGTCACCACACAGTTGACGCGCTCATGCCCGAAGCGTCCACACTTTTCGCACTTCGGTACGCGACATTCGCGGCGTATGTGTCCTGTGCCCTTACACCGCAGGCAGAGCGGTGAGCGCCCTGGTACAATCACCAAGACGTTCCCGCCAGCGATCCTCAACTGATGTGGAAGGCGGTCCAGGGATACGCCCTCCTTTGGGCTTAGCCGAGCCAGCCTAGTCGTGGACTGGATGCCCGCGAAGCCATCGGCTCTCCAGACGTCACGGGTGATTCCGTTCACCTTTCCGAAAGGCTCCAGGGCCTTCCGCACAACCTCGTCGGTGACGTGAAAAGGAACCCAGTGCAGCTTCACGCGAACATCCGCGTTGTCGGGGTCGATGATCACACAGCGCTTGCCTTTTACGGAGAGCTCCGCCGCCTCTACCACACGCCGCTTAGATTCCGCCGTCTTCAGAGAGAGCATCCAGACGTGGTTCATCTGGTATCCTCCAAATGCGTCGATGTCGGCCATCACGTCCAGGCGCTCCAGCTCTGCCCGGAAATCAGAAATCTTGTACGGTCTTCCGGAGACGTCGCCATGAAGTAGAACGGAGTTCAGCGCAACACTTCTTGAAGGAAGCGGGGCCAGAACGACACGGTAGTCGTCGGTGGAAGCAAAGACAGAGTTTCCGCGGCCTGCGAGGGCCGTTATCGCCGCTCCTTGGGAGAGCATGATTACACAACCGTCGCTGGCGAGCGCCGGGCGTGGAATGCCACTGAGCTACTGGGGCATATCGAAAGTGGGGTATCTTTTTCCTTAGTAATAATTCAGCCGGTAAACTGTAAGTTGGACAGTTTACTGCCGATTTTCCTCTAGCAAAAGCACTCCCGGGTCGAAGTCGGGATGCACCACGCATTGGCGACATTCTCACCTAGTAAAGAAATCGTACGCGTGCATATTCCACTCGAAGTAGACACGTCGCGCTTGACGTTTGCGCGAGCGATGTCTTCAGCCACGAGAAGGGAGCGACGGCTCGGCGACGTCTTCGTGCAAATCGGCTTGGTGGTCGGGCGTGTCGTACGGGATGAATACCAATTCTTTTGACCAGTCCCAAATTTCTCTTTTAAAGGCAGACAAAATTCGCCGGTACCGCGAACGACAGTTCTGAAATAGAGGTCCCACGCCCGTCGTCCGCTGCCATCGCCGTCCCTGCGAGTCTCACGATACGCGAAACGACGCACGCACAGAATGCTTCCGGTTGTCTGTGGAACTTTTTTTTCAATCAACGTATTTGCAGCTTTTTAGAAGCCACAAAAAATGGGTTTGATATTTTTTTCTATTTTTAATATTGGGTGTGTGCTTTCAGTGACCCACGACTTTGATTAAATTTGGTGGTCGCATCGATACCTTAGAAAACGGCCCGTGACCGCGGAAAAAAGAGTGAGCGAGACTCGAACCGGCCAGTTCTTGATCGGCGGTTTTCGGGCGGAAAGAAACCGAATTTCGAGCCGCAAATTCTGTTCTGGGTAGTTGAGCTCTCATATGTCACGTACAACTTAAAACCTCGGCGAGCATAAATACCCTGTCAGTGTCCCTTTAAGGGGAGACACTGCCCAGAAAAAAAAAATTTCTGCAAAAAAAGTTGATTTTGAAAAATGACATCTTTACATCCACCAACATCTAGAGAGTATTCCCAAAGAGTTTCATTAATTTTCACTGTATAGTTAATTTTTTATGAATTATTTTCCGTCCACCAAAGCTATAGAAAAGGTAGGGTTTCGAGCACTTTGAACACATTTTTCTCCGTTCCACTTTTTGGTATAAATTCCATTTTAGTCAATCTATCGTTTGATAATGGCAAAACAGGGAAAGCGCATTCTTCCCTTATCCTGACTGAAATTTAAAGGGACCATGAAATGATTTTAAAATCAAATTTCATCCACCGCACGTCGTAAAAGGTGTGAAAAGAAACACAAAAACACAAAACTAGGGAGCCAAAAAAAATTATTTGCTATAGAACTTTTAAAAGAAAACTGGACTCTTTTGCGACTTCTTTCCTTCGAAAGCTCTGCCTTTTCACTACGATGCATCCGCAGAAATGGAGCACGTCAGCCGAATCCACGTCGCCTATTGGGTAAGAGCCTACCTCACCAGCACCGCGATCGTAAACAATAAATAGCCGGTGAATGTTTCCTAAAAGTTTTGTTAAATAATATTCAGACCCACATTTTGTAGCATAATTAGAGATGTGTGGCGAAAATTGCCAAATTTGATAATGCTGAGAGCCAAGCGCCATCTATCGTGTGGTAAACGAAGCAACTACTGCGCGTGCGCAGTAGGGCAGGGCTGGCAGGGCCGACTCCAGAACGGTTATTTCCTTTGGTTTCCTTCCTCTCAAAACTCTGACTGACTGAACGTTTATTTTTCTACGTGTTCATCTCGCGGGTGCCGACTTCAAGCAGCAAGAAAAAAATGTACTTAAAACAGACCACGACGAACAAGAACGCTGGATCCACAAACACCCGAGAAGAGCGACAACAGCCGCGAATCGCGCTCCGACGAAGCTCTCAGAATATAGGCCTAGCAGGCACTCCGACTCAGCGCGGCGTTGCTTCGTCGCAAGACCGTCTGTCTGCCTGCGACCGGCTGGCGTGCTGAATGGAATATGCCCGCGCTACCCTTGTGGGGTACCCTTGTGGACCCTTCCCGTATAATAGTTTGATCGCTGACCTCAATTTTACGTTAAGAGGTGAGGTCAATCTCTTCCCCTTGTTTTCCGAGGCAGTGTTGACGAACACTCGTCGAAAAGGGACCCTCGTCGATTCTCTCTTCTTGTTTTGTGTGATATAGAGCTGAAATAAACGCTGTATGGATTACCTTCGTAACACGGTATGTACACTTTGTTATTGGTATGCCATTTTTATCCTGACAGACTGCACGTCACTGTCGAGCTGTAACAGTTCGTGAGAGGTATACGTGCAATACCGGTCCAAGCTTTCTTTGCCGAGTGTCGCGTCAGTATCGAGTTGCAATCGTAAAAGATCGGTCCCGAAGCGCTTACCAACAGCGCGAATACAGCACTTCCATAAAACGCGCGCGTCCGCTCCGAGTGTTAACAGGTATTTACGTAGCTCTTGCTGACACTCGTAGTTCAAACGTATCTTTTTTAACGTCGGCTCGCTCCTGCATCTCCGAGACCGCGAAAAACGCCGCGGCAATTTGTTTCCATCTACGTCGCTTTGCAAACGACTGACACTGGCCGCCTTTTGCCAACAATGACAGTTGGGTTGACTTCTGGAGTCTTCACCGGAAGACTCGCTGCACTTCCCAACAGGCATACCGGTGTATGGGACTAGTTCCATGCTGTCGCTGTAGCGCAACATATCTCGTTGAATTTCGCTCAGCTGCGATGCGGCGATGAGAGGCGCCGATTCAGAAAATACATCGGTGACATCGGCGCAGTAAAACCTACCGGCGCACCCCAACTCGTCGCCGCTAATGCTCCCATCTCCTACTGCCGAGAAGTTCCGGTTCCGGAAATAGCGTATGTCACGGCTTGTTTTGCGGTCAAGAAAAAGTCGATATTTCATTAATTTTTTGTGTAGAAGTTAATAAACCGAGACGAAAACGGATGCCTGTTCGGCATTCAGTGAACATTGACGGTTTAATGTAAAAGTTATCTGGAAAAAGTAAAAAAGTCATTTCATGGTCCCTTTAATAAGGAGTGCGGCTATGGAACTTTTTTGTCACTTTACGGATGTCTTTTGTAAAAAATGTTGACATTTTGGCGAAGGCACAGAAGACCAAAAAGTTGTCCAATTTTGCAGAAGAAAAAATTTATTGGCGACGAGATGTTTTGGTGGCGCCACCTCGCGAGCGCCTTCCTGTGACGGAGCCAGTAGGATGCGAGCAGACGACGCGCTATGTCAATGCACGGAGTGGCTGTGTTAGTTCGCATCGATGCCAATTAAAAACTGCTTATTTATTAAAGAAGCGTGTATGACGTTCTTTTGTGACTGATCTTTCTAATGAATAGCAGTGCCTCGAGGTTGATTTTGATAGTAGAACAAACAAACGTTAATATGTTCAAAAACAAGCATGGAGTTTTACATTACAGCTTGCGCGGCGTGCGTAAGAGCTATTCACAGCCTCTAATTTTGTTTTTACGAATCTGTGGAGGCTGTTGTATAGAAAAAGGTTTTCCATTCACCAGCGTAAATGACGTGCTGTCTTCTTAGCTGCGCAAGCGCGCACAGTTGCGGTGCAACGCACCGCCCACTTGTTTTAGCAACATTGAGCTCGCCCTTACCGACGCTTCCACCCAAGTGTGACTCAAGAGTTGGTGCCGAGCAAATGCTTGTCAGCAACTGAAAATTAGCTCCTCCCGTATCGAACACGTGGCAAAGAAGTTTGTCACATCGCGACTTCTGCTCGATAGAAAAGCAGAAATGTTAAAAAAATTCTGAAATTGTCGGCGATGGCCCGGCAATATCAGGCGATTGAGTAATTTGTTCTAACCTATTTTACAAAGAATTGTTTACAAATTTACACTCGCTCGTTGAGAAGCGCATCACGCATTATACGTATATGGGTCCGTAAAATGAGACGTACTAACGGTAGTTATTCATTGCAGGTGTAACCTCATTTTTTTGTGACGCTGAGGTGTGACCGACTTACTAAATTTACGACTTGGATCGCGAGGGGGTCTCGCACGTTTCGCATCAACTGGGTGAATACGCAGAGATTTAATTGAAACGACTCAGGAAGCCGGCCATCGCTTCTTCCTGCGAGTTATTTTGAGGAAATGTTTGTTTACTGGTTTACAAAATTTTAAAAAGGAATCAACTGAGAACTAATAAGAGACCACCGCTCACAGAAGACATTGGAACCAACAGGAGACACGGAGTCGCTTTCACTTAAATGTTCACTACACAGGATCTCGAATTCGAATTTCCTACTTTTAATTTGAAGAGACGTTCCTAACTCAGTTGTATTTTGTCCAAATAATTTTTTTAATACACCCTGTTCGTCCTGGTAGGTGACATAGCGGGTAAAGCGCTGGATATTCTATTTTCATCATCCAGCTTTTTTTTACTGGGGTAGAGAACAGCTGCACACCACCATCCCAGTGCTTCGACACCTCAGCGCCAAAAGTGTTTGTTAGCACGACTACGCGTTGCCACGGTTTCAAGGTTTGGTAAAATGTCCTACTACAAATATCAATTCAGAAAATAAACACAACGCGTGAAACAGGCTTTGCCGCGCGTTACCCAAATTGCGCACGAAGCGAGCTGACGAGCCGAGGGATCGAAGATCCGCGCGTTCTGTCCCAGTCTATCCTACCCGCGACGTCCCAAATGATGATGATGATAGCTAGAGAAGCGCCCCCTGTAATTCGCGCACGCCGCCAATAGAAATGAATTACTTTTTAGAAAAAAATTTCCATAGCCGCACCCTCTAGGCATTCTGCTACATATCTAGCAAATAAAAATCTTTAATATCACAATAGTTTTCTGACGATAGATTAACTAAACAACGTAGGCGTGTTGCTGATAGAAGCTACTCTTATTTCCTTCTCATTTAACCGACAGACCTGAAATTTTGTCATACACCCTCTAGCATGACCACCAGCCTACCCTGTAAATTTTGTTAATGTTAAAACAAGGGTTCAAAAGTTGACCCCCCTAGGGGGTGTGCCCCCTTAAGGCCCGTTCACACATCTGCGTTCGGAGCGATCACTATGCTTACGAACGAATCCAACCGCTGCGACTCCAACGACAACTGTGCGCGACGTGTACACACACATGCAACCGCATGCAACCGCACGAATCAACAGCCAATAAGAAACAAGCTTCAGCTCTTCCTCCTAGCCAATAGGAAGCAACCCAGCTACGCTTACAAACATGGCGGTCGGTTTCGTGTCCGACGCGGGGTAGCGGGGTCCTCACCGGAGCAGCCCGAGGTTTCGGCTACGGCATACAGTCACGAAGATCTGCTGTGCGCCTACAATAGCTGTGTAAAGGCTGGTTCAGACATCTAAAACGAACCCGTTATCCGCGACTGCGTCCGTTGTGACCAGAGCGACCGGAACGATCGCTCTGCGCCGCGCGTACACTCCTGCTACCACTGCAACAAGCGCAGCGGGTCGGCAGCATGGCGACCGCCTCTCCGTTGCCGTCAGCTGTTTCAGCGGTGCCTCCAAAAAGAAGGGGACGCGCTGCCACTCAGATGCGTAACAGAAAATAGACAGACTGTCTTCTATGACCTCAAGCTTTATTAGTCTTTTTTCAGGATATGCTTGCAGGGTAGTGCATTAAAAAAAAAGAAAAAGATGCAGTACGCCGTCTTGCACGACCACAACTTTAATACACGGCTTTGCCAACAGTACAAAACTCGCCACACGCCTTTTCTTTGATTATAAAAGACGATGTAATCTTAGCAACGATATAGCAACGTAGAAATATAATTTGACAGACGATGCGAGCGTTCAGGATTGCTAACACTAATCACCTTTTTCGGGCGATGAAAACGAGTAAAAAATTCGCATCCTTTGTACGGTACGCACCAGTAATACCTTGAACTTAAGCACACGCAAAAAATGCGCAAAAAAAAAAAAAAAAATCTGGGTGATGTTTGAGGGCACAAATGCTAAGGAAGCACCACTGTAGTCGAAGTAAACAAAAACGACTGCACGGGCGTTTCTGCTGTCTTGAGAGTGCTGCCACGAGATCGCCGCACAAGTAGGTGGATCTTCCCTTCTAGTACGTGCTGGGTTATCATAACGACACACGACGAAAATTCACAGTCAAGGATAGCACTTTTACGGGGAACGATGAGCGTTTACCACGCCGTCTTTGTCGACGATCACCACCGACGCCTTGTTTGCAAATAGAAGGAGCCTGGCACGACCGGCATGCAACGCGCGCGACCGAGCTCCTCGACCTGTGATTGGTCTGTCGCTCCCGTCGTTCCCGAACGCAACGAAAAAGTTCAGCCCGGCTCAACTCCTTGCGTTGCGAACGAACACGAACGAAACGACCGTTTGGCGCTTCGTTGCTATGGTAACTCGTCGTTCCAACCGGTTGCATTCGTTCGTAAGCGTAGTGGTCGCTCCGAACGCAACTGTGTGAACGGGCCTTCAGAGTTGTCGGAGCTGCTCATCGGTTTCAAGTCGTACCCAAAACCAGCAATACGTGTTGCTGTGGAGGGGGGAATAACTCATCAGCTGCCCAAAAACTATATGAGTAACTTATCCCATGAGTAGCGGGCCTTCTAGCAAGCTCGTTTCAAATGCACTGGCATTATGCGAGTCATCTCATAGAGTGCACCGCACTCGCGGAATGCCGCACAAAGAACCGGTCTCAAACTAACTTACCGAGTGCAGCCTGATGCTGTCACCATCTGCATTGTAGTAAGAGTGCAGACCTCAAACTGAAATTCGCGCTACACTGTTCGACATGACGGGCAGGAATGCGATTGAGAGTTGCTGCAACGTGTAGTTTATATCTGTGATGACTTCAAACAGCACGGCTGTAAGAGATATTTACAGATGGCATCAGTTCCTGTAACCTGCTCAGTACAAAACAGCTGTAACTTTTTGTTAAACGATACACTGGAAAAAAACTGCGCAAAAGCTTGACCAGAGCAAACGCAAGAAATTTTAAGGCTAGGCACGCCTTGCGGAACACAAGGATGCCCACACGACTCTTTCTCTGAAGCGTGCCCCTTCTGTACGAACAGCAAAAGTTAATTTTAGGGTTAGAATATTTTTTGCCAGTTTCACGCTCTCGTCGTAAAGCGGTACTCGGTCTTGTTGACTGATATTGCCGTTTCGTTTGACACTGCGTTGTGCAACACTCTCGAAGCTAGCTAGCTGTAGGGCACGTTTCATTCTTGATTATCGCCGCTTGACCAGAAAGCTCTGTGACACTTTGTCGCTGCCAGATGACACTGTGCTCAACGTGCCGTTGCGCCCAACGGACAGGCCACGTGACACACCTTCGGCACTGGATTGGCTCCGATGGCTCGCAGCATTCAGAGTAAAGTGCGGTATTGCATTTTGCGCTTTAGTAACTCACCACTGCCGAGCTGCTACGCCAGAAGCACTCAGCAGACCCCACCAACTCACCTCTACGTTGACAGGGCGGTAGGAGCCATGTGGTTGGTGGGCCAAGCTTTTATTGCCTCATGTCCGACCTGCACATCTGTATGAGAAAGGGGCATGATAAGTGATGCAAGACTGACAATCGGCTGGTTCACCGAGCATGTAGCCTCCAGTGCCCTGTCAGTTAAGGGGTGAATGAAGTCTAAAGTTGGTATATAACAGCCGTCTACTGTCCCACTCTCAGGCACGCCACCCATGACCAGTCCAGTCGTTGATCTTTAAAGGGGTTATGACACAAAAATTAAACGGATAGACTATTCTTGAAATGGAATGCTCATAGGCTACTTAGTATATACACCAAGTTACGCAATTTTTAGAGCTCTGATAACTGCAATATTCAATTTACGAATTTTTATAATTTTCATTTGGCGACCAGGCAACACTGCTCAACTTAGTCACACCATGGTGTCCATAAACCACATGACCATGAACACTCTCTCATTCTAGGCACCCCCATGATCGCCCAAGCTCTTCTCGTCGCGGTATGACGCTCAAACAGCTCGGTAAACTGAAAGCTATTCTCGCTCTCGCCCCCCGGCCGGTTGACCTTCCACCCTGCATGCGCCTGCGAGACATTCCCGGACGACGGTGACCACAACGAACTCGTCGTCGCTGGAGCTCGTCGCCAGCGGGTCGCAGTCAAAATGAACAGCTTCCAACATCTCTTGATAGCAATCACTCTCATCGCTGCTTCGATCAATGTTGAACACTTCGACAAGGCGATCGATGCCGTAGACGTAATCGTCACAGACTGGATGCTGGAAACGTGGAAGGTAAACAAGGAAGCTGAGGCTCGATACGCCAAGAGAGCCAAGTCTGCGAGTGCGTGCAAGTAGACACCACGCTGGAGGCTGGCTACGTCATCAGCCTCCAGGTCCGCCCGGATCTGAGGGGCCCGCATATAAATTGATTTATCCACGAAATTATCGCGCCTTTTTTAAAACAAATTTAGCAGGATTATAGGAACATACAATGGGTCCTAGCAGTATAGTTATGTAATATTTTATTTTTGGCGTTTCATAACCCCTTTAAGCAAGGTTAAGCAATGACTGCCTTGTGCCACCACACATGAAGGTGTCCACGGAACAAAGCCGCATTGGTCCTGCCATAACCCACACCTTGTCGAGGTAGAAAACTTTCGGGCCCTTTATTTCCTGTGTTGTACAATACCCCAAGAGGTACCTCTGTTAAAACGGGACTATTTTGACCCCCTCGGTCAGAAGCGAGGCCCCTTGCGGCCATTCAGCGCCGTCTACTCATTCATAGATGTTGCTCCTTTCGACAAAATGTCTGTGGCGACAGCTGGGGCTAGTGAAAAAGCGGACACCATAGCTCTTCCCAAAGCACCCTGTTCTTCCTCAAGAGCGGCTAGTTCATCCAGGAACAGTGCAATGGTGCTTGGAGGTCTATGATCGCAGACCACCGGTCATAGCCGCACCAACGGCGGCGGCGGCGCCGCCTCCCCCCCAACTGACGTCACTCAGGTGACAAGCATTTCACTCGCATGACGCGACTCCAAGCGATACTCACTATGGCTGGCGACAACGCATAAAAGGCATGCGCTGGCCCTTTGACCCATGCGGAGTGCAGTGCTGGAAGTGGAACGGCATCGGTGACCCAGTCGCTGCAGTTACCCAGAACTGTTTTACTGCTGTCTCGGCGAAGGTGCAGGCCCGCTGTTTGATGCACGTAGGTAGAAGCCATAAGCCGCAAGCATCGAACACCTGGGGTGGAAAATTTTGCACCCAACAAAACAATAATCATGAGAAGAGTGGTCTGGCCGGTGAATTGCAAAAACATAAAAAGCAGGCACATAATGAAGTATTTCTGTTACCTTGTCTTGCAAAAACACAAAAAGCAGGCACATATAGAAGTATTTCTGTTACCTCGTCTCATGCTCAAGCATTATTTTGGATAGTATACATCAATAATGCCTGTCTCGCAGTGGCTTTCTGAACAAAATGTTGTAGAAAATACAACCAGTTGAACACCAAAGGAGAAGTAGAACAGAGAGGCACATGCACACTATGGAAGAGCACAACTCTTCGCCATTAACCTGTAGCAGAATCGCTTAGCAGTTCTGCTGCAGGTGTGAATGTACCACGAGGCAGAATACAGTATTTGTGCAGAAAACACCATCGCAGGCCTACCTGGACGAACAGCAACATATTTACCCGCCACAAATTCAACGCGCCGTGAGGGCCATTCGCGAAGCCTGATCTGTTTGTAAATCCCTTCTTTCGACAGAACGCTTTTGTGACTGCACGAGCTCGTCAAAAGCTGACATTCCCAACATGCAAATGCGGCGCAGGCGGCACTTGGGAGCCACATGCCACTCCCGTTGATTATCTCTATTATCTTCTTCTTTGTCCCCGACGCTACGTGAGGTAGCCAAGCGCTATCAAATTCCACCACAGCGGTGTCGAATCGACGGTCGAACGCCACCAGTAGGTAAATTCCACTCACCTTTTACTTTCCGAACAAGCGTCCCACGGGCCTCCATGTGGCGAGACGGGGCCTGTTGCTGGCTTGCATGAATGCGCTGAATGCGCTGTGGACTTCATTGCCGACGCTCGTTCCCAAGCATTGAATATCACGACCAACTCCACTCGGCAATACCGCGGCACATAACACGACAATGTATAATACAAGAAAGACCGCTGGAACCACTGATACGGAACCGACGCGACCGCTCCGAAGAGCGCCCAACAAACACTTGGAGGAACGAAAAGTAAACACAAAAAGTAAAATTGAAAGAAGCAAAAACAAACAAAACAAAAATTTTCGTCACTTCCTGTTTGTGTTGTTTTGCTTGTTTTTGCTTTTTTTTTCTCAGCCAATAGGCGTTGCAACCTTACTGCGGCGAAACGCTCGTTAAGGAACTGTTGTATTTCGAATTCAGTTTCGATATTTTAGCAAGCCGTTCTGTAAGCCAAAGAAAGGCAAGCGAATCCAAGAGGAATCCATTTCGGCACATCGAATAAAAACGGTCATCAGTTTACATAACCGGCTTCTTCTTTCTGGTCAAACCACCAGACACAACGAATTGGCGATGAGCGATGCGTCCAACATGACAAGGTAACCCCATGCCTCCTCATCGAATCACCAAACGAGCAAGGAAGGTCAGTTCACCGGCTCCCGACGCTCAGAAAATTTCAAGCAGCGTGGGCTCAAAAGCAAAATGGCGTTTGCTCCGTCTGCCGGTTTTCCCGACCTTCAATGTCAGCTCGTCTCCAGCAACGCTCGGAGATCGGTGGCGATGTTGGATCGACAGATTCGAGAATCTTTTGAAGGCGCTCAAGGTCAAGGATGCAAAGCAAAAGAAGGCTCTGCTGCTCCATTACATCGGTGAGGAAGGCTACGACGTGTAAGCGTCAGTCGCACCGTTGACGGCAACCCCACCCAGCGTAACCACGGCAGTTACCACTACAGGACAGACCGGTCAAAGCGAAGCGGGAAGCACTTCTGGATCACCAGATGACTACAAAAACAAAACAGCTGCTCCACGACCACTTCACGCCGAGGGTTAACCGAGACTACGAAGTCTTCAACTTCCGAAAAACGACCCAACAAGATGGTGAGACCCTCGATGCCTTCTACACGCACCTCCGTGCGATGGCAAGGTACTGTTCTTTTGCGGACACTGACGCAGAGATAAAATCGCACATCGTGCTCCGTACTTCATCCACGAAACTACGATGTTTCGCGCTCCAGATCGACGAGACGCTCGAGAAGATTTTAACACAAGGACGGATGTACGAGGTCACCTCGCGGTAGTTGAAAGAAATGGAGACATCTGCGACCGACCAGGTGAATCACTTGAACCGCAAGGAGAAGTCTTGGAAGCAGAGATCCACACACACGTCAAAACAGCAACAAAGTACAACTGAAAGTGTTTCAATTAACTGTGGTGGACTGTGGCCCCACGAGCAAGGAAAGTTCTGACCAGCAAGGAACAAAACTTGTAAAGCATGCAAAAAGCGAGGACACTTCGCAGACGTATGCCAAGGACAAGGTGGACCCAACACGGCTCACAGGCTGGTTGAGCACAGTTCGAACTCCGATTCGGACGACCAAGCTTTCACGCTACAGCGCAACAACTCAAAGGCTCCAAAAGTTAAGTTGACCATCGGTGACCGTGGCATTGACTTTATTGTAGACACAGGAGCTTTGGTAAACGTCATCAGTCATGACACGTACAGCAAGATCCCAGGCAAACCGACCCTGTGCGGCCCAGTACCAAAAGTGTTTGCATACGGATCAAGAACAGAACTTCCTTTATTGGGCAAGTTTTCTGCTGAACTCTGCTACAAGGACACCAAGTTGCGGGATACCATATTAGTGACAAGGATGCCAAGTGAGTCATTGTCGTGCTTCAAGTCAGCCGAAGCTCTGGGACTTGTCTCAATTGTGTACAAGGTTTCTCCCTCGCAGAGCATTTAATTAAGAGACGTACCCCGAGCTATTCAGAGGACTAGGAAAGCTCAAAGGAATTGAAATGAAACTGCACATTGATCAATCAATTCCACCAGTGGCACAGAAGCTACGACCCATCCCGTTCAACATACGTGAGCTGGTCATAAGAGATACGGCGACTGGAAGAGCTTGATGTGATCGAGAAAGCCTCGGGCTCCACTACATGGGTCTCTCCCATCGTTGTTGTGCCAAAGCCACATGCACCGGACACTGTTCGGATGTGCGTAGACATGCACCGAGCAAACCAAGCCATTACAGAGAGCGGCATGTATCCCCAACGCTGGATGATCCAGTCACAAGTCTCAACCCAGCTGAAAATTCCCATTAAATCCAATTGGAATTCCAACTGGTTTTAACTGGAACCAATTGGTTTTAGTGGGTTCCAGCTGGAACCGCTCTGGCCAATGGGTCTCACCAATTGGAATTATTTTTCCAGTTGGAACCTGAATGGGTTCCCAATGATTCCCATTGGTTCCCGTTGGTTCCTATTGGCAGTGACCAATTGGTTGTCCAAAAAACCAATTGGTACCAATAAGTCACCAATTGGTACCAATAAGAAAATTC